TATAAGGTAATTACACAAATCGCTAAAGCGACGGTTGTATTCAGTATACAGGGAACAAATGGGAGGGTCCATTGGTTTTCAGAAAATCTTGTTTAAACAAAAATATTTATTTAAGCGGAATGCCATTGCCTTTTGGTGTGTTGAGGAGGGGTCGGTTACATTGCTGCCGTGCTCTGCAAATGAAGTAATGTGTCCACAGAAAGGGACAAGGATGTTGTGGGAGATGTGGGGGACGCGTCCCCACAACTTTCAGACCGTGGGGGACTGCCTCCACAGCGTTAGAGACCCGTAAGCGTCGAGCGCACGTGTATGTGCTTTGCTGAAGTGAGTAAAAACATAGGGCCTCAGTCAGATGGCTAAACGTATTTGATGCGATTGTTGGAAAGTCGTGAAAATAGCTAGCAAACCAAACCACATGTGAGTAAGTCCTCTCATCAGGTGGCTCCTCGCATTGTAAACGTCAGAGGACGCTGTCGCCACCCCGGTTGCTCAGCGCCATTCCCACGCTTCTCGTCCATTGCTGCGCAGGGGTGGAGCATTATATTTATTTGTGGGTGTCATGGTCACCCCATTTCCGAGATAATCTCCTCCAATGTTGAGTTGGCCCCATCACGTGGCATTTGCCCTCCGATAATCCGTCTGTTTTCTGATAATGGAAACTCAAAATCTTGCAACAGAAAAAGAAGTGAGAACGGTTATTTTCATGCGTCTATTACGTAAAAAGGTGTGCGGGCCTTTTTTAAGTAGTGTTTTTGTACGTTTAAGGTGAAATGGGGCTCAAACACTGGTTAGATAACCATGACGCGAAGTACGCCGTTGCCTAGGTTATGCTGATTGTCGGATACTTATTTCCTTGACTGTCTTGTTGGTAACAAAAGTCATGCATTACCTTGTGCTGGGAAGATCACTGGTCATGACCGCTGTCACGTACGGTCAGCGTCAAAAAACGCTCGTCAGTCTTTCGGACGTGCCTATGACAGCACGATGAAATGAATTTCCTCTTATTTAAGGGCGGACGAGATCAGGGGATAAAAGGCGACGGTGGTACCGATCATCTCTGAATTTCCCACAAATGCCTGCGCGGGTTCGCCAAGCTTTTTATATTCTAGCGCACAAATCCAACCATATAGTGATACAGATTTCGAATCAAAAAGCTAATCCTCAAAAGTAATGCATTTCTTGAGCTATTTGTTCGTGACAAGACTGAGAAAGTTTGTTTTTCAGTCCAGTTACACATTCTGAACCTCATCATGATAGTTGGGTGAAAATAAAAGGCTCTAACTGTACTAACGTGTATACCTTAGCTAAATTTTTTACAAGCTAACGCTTGTAAGTTATAAGATTTTGTCATCGTCATTGTTTGACGCGTAACATTTACGAAGCAGAAAACATATGCTGGTCAATTTTGGATGCAGTAAAATCCTCGACAAAACCCTAAACGTGGCCAGCAATACTTTCCTAAAGCCTTGCCAGCTTTTTAAGCTAGCGTGTTTCGGGCCTGCAGGCCTTAAAGCGGGAGCTCTAGCCCACACCGAGAGCCCGGCGCCGAACGGGGAGCAAACACACCGCGCCGCGCCGCTCCCCCGCAGCATCAAAGGCGCCGCTGATGAGCCTAGTCGGCCGGCGCTCCCCCAGCGTGAAGGACCGTGCGGAGCGAAAGGCGCGGGCCCGTCCCGGCGCGCCGGTGCGGGGGCCCGCGGACAGCTCGGCGGGTCAGTGACGGTGAACTACTGGCGCATAGTGCGCTGGCGAACAACTCCGCACAAATGTACCGGCAAGCTGTTAAGGGCAGCACTCCGCATTTGTGTGAGGTTTTGAGCTGAAAGAGCTATCTTGAAGATCACTCGGCGCAGTTCACAGCCTTGCCTTGTCCCTTCAAAGACCTAAATCTCTCGATATTCTGAGCTTCACATCCACGAAAATGAGCAGAGTATTTCGAGGAGGCTATTCCAAGGTCACTCAGACACCCATGACGCCATAATAACGACATTCAAATCATGTTATTCCATTAACCATTAACGATTAATACCTATAAAAATATGGCCGTCGAGTTGTTCGTATCTGGCGCTCGTAAGCATGATTTCCAGGCAAAGCGGCCGCAATTGGCTCTGAATCAATGTTGCGGAAGTTATGATGACGCAATCAAACCATGTCGCATCAAGAAGCGTGTTCACTAAACAGAGATATCGTGTTGACCAGAGCAGTCTTTTCCATCTCAGAGTATATCAATAGCTCTAAATGAGCCTATTTCATCAATCTGACGCTTGCTTCAACATCTTCAAATGTGAATCATTCTCTCTAACGACAGCTTTACAAATTATTTCGGTCCTAGACTAGGGCGTGCTAAGGAGCCGCATCTGCTTCCATTATCATGGGCACATTGAAAACCGAGGTCTTTAATGTCAAGATATTTGTGCGGTCAATGACAGCTCTAAGAGGGAGCAGGTGTTTATCGTGAGTCTGATTCGCTGCAGAACATAAGACATATTCCTAGCCGGCAGGACGCTTGGTTTCGCGTATTTATGTCCTCAGGTGACGTATGGTTGCATGAACAAACGAGATCTGAGGGGGAGGGGGCAAGGGGGCAGCGGTCTACGGAACAAACGAGATCGGACTGACAGCAGCGGGTCATGGAACAAACGGTTCTGTAGGGGGAGGGGCAGTAGTGCACCATCGAACAAACAAGGCGGGGAGGGGGCGGGAGGGAGACAGCAGCAGACCATCGAACAAAGATGGCACTGCTCTGGCAGTCTTATATTAAGGCTAAGTTAAAATCACACATGCGAATAGGTGGTGTGTTCGCACAAATGCTTTGAGGCATTTGGATGCCCCAAGTCCTTGCAAAACTCGCATCTGGATCTTCATAAATTTCTGAATTTCGCAATCCAACGACTGTTCGATCTTCCTCAAAAGTACCATTCCTCTGCAACGTGTGCTTGAATATATATATATATATATATATATATATATATATATATATATATATAGACGAGGCATTTTCTGAGATGCGTCTTGTGAAGCTTCTGTTTCCCCTAATTTGAAATGCTGGGAAACCAGTGAATACCCCAGGCAGAGTGCAGATCGCCGCTATGGCCGTGAGCATTTCGGGGCACAAGACATTGTCATAGCCAGAATTCTGCCGAGAGAGGAGAGCAGGACAAGTCGGACAAAGGGCCCATGTAACCAACGGAGAATTCATGCTGGTTGTTGCTATGACGGCTAGAAGAGGCGGAAAGAAGACAACAGGCCATGCATTTGTGCAGCCAGGTTCCGCGGCTCAGCCAGGTGCAGCCAGGTTCCGCGGCTCAGCCAGCTGTTCCACCGTTCAGGATGACTTCCTTTGGGGACTAGATACTGTTCAGGGAACGAGCAAAGTGCGGACGACTCGCGCTCACCGGCAGCTTGGCTTTTCTACAAATCCCGCGGCTTCTCTCATGTATAATCTTTTTGTCGAGCTCACGAGTGGCGAGGACCCCCCCCCCCCCCCTCCCCCTGGTCTAGGTTAGCTTCAGATTGACTAGAAGAGTTTGGGACGAGCGGGCAGGATGACGGACCCGAAGCAAACTCTTGGCTTCCCTGGAAGTGTACCGCTTTTATACCGGGTTAAAGAAGGCCCGTGACGTCACTCACCTTGCCGCCCGTTACACGTCAGTGAGGCCCACGTACGAGTCAACAGATGGTCTCCAGCTGATCATATGGTCTTCTCTTGCCAATTCGGTGTTTTGAGAGCCCTAGGTTGCCTGCAAGAATGCTGCTGCCGACCCCATGGAAGCCTTTTACAGATCATCAGAGGCATTTTACAAGCAAGAGATGCCCCTGGAGAAGAGCTCAGTGGCAGATGTCAGCTCGTTGGGAACCCACTTGTTGTTTAGGAAGGGCCTGTACCGGCCCATGGAGTGCGTCTGTCGGCCTCTGGACCGTCATCCATGCCTGTATCATGGCCCCTGCCGGGCAGTAAAGATGCGTCCTATCTGATTGTAAAGGGGCTTAGTGAAATGGTAAGGACCATGCTTGTCTGTAGAAATACTCTAAAATAGTGAGGGCTCTTTTGAAGTCGGTAGCATCTTTACAGACACTTCGTCTCACTCAAGCGGAGCCAACCCCAGTAATCTTTTATTCTAGAGGGGATGGGGGGGGAGGGGTTGGAAGCTTCTCTAGTAACCATCGAGGCCTACTTGCATGAAGGTTCCTCCAAAACCTAAACCAAGCCCTGTATAGGCCGGCAGGGGCCCTTCAAGACAAAATATGAGCCGCGACAAAGTAGTTGGGAGGCCTGACATTGATGAAGTTACTGCGCATGACCTCTCCTCATCGCGAGCACAAAGCCCTTTTGTGTATTCGTAGTATATTTTCGACGTTTGTAGCCATGTTGTAATGCTGGAGCATAATGGGTCATGCGGTCACCGCTCACCATTCAGAACACTTCGGCCCTCATATTTTGTTGGCGGGGAGGGGAGCACGGTTCTATTACCCTCCCAATTGGCTGCACCACTTGTCCAAAATAATGTACTCTTGAACCGTGCACATTATGCTGCTTATACATCACATGGCCTTCACTTTTGTCATTTTTCTGAGACATTTAGAGGGGGGCGAAAACTGGGCGGCATATGCCTTTCAGCCAAGGGTTCTTATTTTTGCATTTAAAGCACCTTTGGGTCTTAAGTCCCCATCTGCATGCCTTGAGGGCACGTTGTTTATATTTTAAAAGCCTTATGAGCATTTTAAACCATTAAAAGGTAGTGGGAATTTTAGCCTCATGGGTTCTACCACATCCAGAAGTGAGAGACCCATGGAGTTAAAAGCTCCAGTTTTGCTACCCTACTGCGCTGTGCACAACTCGCTTGGCACATCCCTCATCTGACCGCCAACAGCCAGCGACCGTCACTCCGCCACCTGGTCCCCGCCTGGTGGCCGTTATTCAAACTACATCGGCCGGCCTCCCGGCGCCGGGCGTGTGTGTGTGTGTCGGGGGGAGGGGGTATTGTGCTCGGAGAGGCGGCGGGGTGAGGTGCGCGCAGGCCGGCCGGGGACTGGTGGCGGTGTGAGCACCGCAGATCGTCCTCAGAGCGGTCCCGACGCGGCCTCTGGGTGCAGAGCGGTGAGCGCGGCCGGAGGAAGGGTCACTGAGGTCAGCCCTCGGGACAGCGGCATCCGACAGGGACTCAGTCAGCTGTCGGGACAACGGCACTCGACAGGGACTGAATCTCTGGCGTCCTCCGTGTGGTGCGCGCACCTCCGGCTATCCGACGATACGACAATGGATTTTGTCATTCTCAAGGTGAGGAGAGGAGGTGAAGAGGGAACAGGGAAACAGTTTGTGAGAATGCAGACCTGGGCATGCTATCCTTGGAATACCACAAATAAAGTAGTTGTGAGTTGATGAGGCTACAAATAAAGTGTTGTGAATGAAGTCACTGTGTTGTGAGTTGTCCCTTCGATTATCGCGCCAGAACTCGACATCAGGATTTAAATTTGATACCCAAGGTCGGTGAGGATGCAGTATAAGATTGTGGCCCATGACTGAGGGGACTTACAGTGCTAGACGATAGATACTCTGTATTGAAAGATTATTTGCCTGCCTGGAGGGCGCATTACTTGAATTGAAAACATTTTCCTCGTTTTCTGGTTCACTGTTTAACGTACAAAAACGTTATGGCTTCAAACTAGCTCTCCAGCCCGAGAGGACGTCGAGAACAGCCTCGGTATTAAATGTGTGCACCGAATGAAGGTATTGTGCATAACGTTTCCAAGCAGTAGTTATGACAAGGCAAATTAACATCGAGCCACCGAAAGCTGCTGCATAAAGAAAAGGAGCGCATGGGTAACGTATAGGCGTTTGCAAGCAGCTGGAAGCTGACATGGTTAAAGAGACTACTTGCCACGGATGTAGTGCGGGCACAATTAGGCGCAAATGAATGGCCATCCTTCCAAAACATTTTGCACTTCGGAAGCAAGAAGCTGCAAAAGGCTTACGCCGAAATATGAAATCCTTTCTGGAGAGACGTTATTGAAACCTCTAAATGGTTCAGCCGTGACTTCTCTTCTTATAAGCCACAAATTTCTTTGAGACCATTTGATTCTCTAATATCTCTGAATTCAAGCATATGATAATAAGCGACTGGGACCGAAAAGGCCTTCGATTTCTTACTACCCTAGTAGACGATAACGCGGGAAGCTACGTGCAACGCGAATCTTAGAAGATACGTTTGAAATAAGAATGGCATCCTATGTTATCAAAGCTTGATGAGAAGTCTTCCCCAGCGCGTCAAAGAATCATCAACTGTAGTTGCAAAGTCCGTCATGCCACTGAGAAGAAATTTTGTAATGAATCATCCTAGATTTTCATGATTAGCGTATGGTACATGCGTGTAATCTAAACGTAGTACCATGTGCCGAGCAAATAAACGCCAGGAAGAGAAATGGGTAAAAGACATAGGATGTTTCAAAGAAAACGGCATGGCAGAAACCATAATATCACATTCAAGACACAAGAATTGTCCCCTCTAAGCTTACCAAATGAACCCGTACAACTAAAAGATAGTTGAAATAATGACAATGCAAAAGAGTGATACTTGATCTTTCTGTCAAGAAGGGGCTGAAACTCTTGCCCATGTTTACTTGAAATGCCCTAGAGTTCAAGACTACACACAGAACAATAAGACTGAGAGTCTAATACGCGATGTTATAGACGCACCTAGTTGTTCCCGACTGACTTCTAAGCAATAAGTGTCCCTGAAGTATCTAGCAAAGCTGGTTATTTATGAGTCACGTTACGCAGAAACGCAACCTGTGGTCAAATACTAGAAAACTAAACTGAAACATGGAGCCGAAATCGGATGAATGAAGACAGAATAACAAACGGTCCACACCCAGTGACAGATGATAACCCAGCGAGAACTGTCCACCACTGCATGATATGCACGCGCGCTCACACCCACACCCACGCCCACGCACGCACCAACGCACCAACGCATGTTCATGCTCACAGGCTTTTCTTGCTTCTCGCTTTCACAAGCAGGCACGGACACACACACTAGCCGCGGCGAGTTGGGTGCGGCCTGCTACCGCCCCAGTGCTCACTGTGTTGACCCGGACACTGGGGTCGGTGCCGACCTTTGTAGGTGGCTATCCAGCGCACATAATGTGTAATCACTGTGTGTGTGTGTGCTTGTGTGTGTCGTTTGGTGATTGTTGATCGACGTGCAAATATATGCATAAGAAAGCATGAATTATGGACAATATGCATACAACTACGTGTCTAATTATAAACTTACCTGTATGGATGGGAATGGAATTTCGTGTATTCCATCGCACATACCACTGAGAACGAACGCGAGGTTTTGGCGAGCTTCTCCTGAATAGAACCAGCCAGGTAGGCACCACTAATCTACATTATTATTCTCGGACACCATTTCGTAGTCTTGCATTTGATACTTGTTCAGCTCATTCTTAGCCTAAATCATGCTCATGTCCTCCTTACTATGCAGTTAAACGAGTCTTCATGAACCTCGACACAAGCTTTAGAAATTCAAAATATAAAACTTATGCTCAGCAGCCCATGGATTGCCTGATGGATTTTGGGATGCCCGTCATTGGCTTCTCGCTGGTGGTCATTACGGATACACAGTCCGTGGTCACACTGGAGTGAAGTCAGGCTTTCTCGCATGCAGGAAAGACTCATGATTTTTCATGTTGAAAGTGGGGTAAATTAATGGATGTCAGTCAGCTTTCGTAGAACATGTTTCCCAAAGATTCAGAACCTTGAAAAC